TGGGTGGATGGATGGATGGATGGATGGGTGGATGGATGGATGGATGGGTGGATGGATGGATGGATGGGTGGATGGGTAAGCTACAGATGGGTGGATTATGTAGGTGGTAGGTGTTCACTACCCTGGAACCTACACCCAATGCCATCATGGAGCTCAAGGGTTTAAGGCCACAAGCTCAGGCTATATAGCAGGAGGAGCAGTGAGCAGTGGCACAGGAGAAGGGAGAACCTAGGGGTAGAACATGAGCACATTTTCTTTTTCTCAAACCCTAGAGGGAGCTTATCCTAACGTGCAGAGAATAAACCCCCTCCAGGGCACCTGGATCTCAGGTGCTTTAGCTTCTGCAATTCCAGGTTTGCGTGTTCTGCAAGCCCACGCTGCTAAGAGCCTGCAGCCATGGAACTCTGAGGTCCCCAGGTTGCTGTGGCTCTGTGGCTCGGTGCCCGTGCCCTTCGGCAAGCTCTCTTCCTCTACTTCATGGAAGGACACAGCCCTCACTCCCCACTCTGAGAGCTCCCCCCATCACCCGGTCCCCTGAATCCCAGTGCCTCTCACAGACACAGCCGGAGACGCCGATAGGCTGGGCCCACGTCAGACCGCTGCTGGGGGACCCGGGGCTGGTCCTAGGAGCCGTGCGGGGCCTCTCGCAGGGGAGTGGCCCACCAGGCCTAAGAACTGGCATGTCTCTCCTGGTCTACGGGAGCCTAGGGCTCCAGTCCAGGCATTCCTGGGGGACAGGCTGCACCCCAAGGCAGGGAAGGGCTGCCCATGTGGCTGCTCCCCGGATTTGCACTCTGGCAGAGCTGGAAAGGGAGGCCCCACACCGGTGGCCATGGTCCCAGGAGATGATGAACAGGCGGGGCCATGCCAGGCCCTGGGAAGCAGGTGAGAGGGACCCATGTCTAGGCCTGTGGCCCTGTGCGTAAGGGTGAGTCTCCTGCACATGAGGGAGGAGCAGGGAGGCCTGGGTGTGGGGTAAGAGCCCCAGGCCAGCAGGGACAGAGTGGAGGGTGGGCCCAGTTTTGGTTCCCACTTGCTGACTGGGTGACCACGGACAAGGCCCTCTCTGTGTCATCCGAGGGAGGCCCCATGCGTGTGTGCAGGAGTGTGAAGGAGGCGCAAAGGCCTCAGGGGGCACCGTATCCCTCCACTGGCTGACTCACAAGGGAGTCACCTCAGCCCTACTGGGGAGGAAGGGGCAGAGACAGGAAAGGGCTATGGCGTGCCAGAGGCCACCGGGGACCAGATCCAGGCCCTGACCCCCTTGTCCTTGCTCTATCCTCAGGAGACCCCCCTCCCTTGGCCTCCTTGACCTCCCACTCACATGGGGTATGCTTGTCTGTGCACCGTCTCCCCAGCTCATCCAGGGGTCCCAAGGGCTGGCCCTGTCTCTCCTGTCTGTCCCTGTCATGCCCAGAGCGCAGGGTCTATGATGGGCACTGCTAGCCAAGGGAGTGAGTGGGTAG